ACAGTATATTTCTGTGAAAAAACTTTTTTTTTTTACAGTGATGGCCCGGCCCTCAACAAAGCCACAAAAAGACAGAATAACTAAGATCAGCTTTTTAAGACAAAGCCGGTGGCAGGTGTTGAGTGTGTCGGTGGTAAGATGAAGCTCGTGGGAAGAGCCCGATCACAAAGGAGTTGTTCTCCGCGCACGCACTGATCCGGAGTCAGTGATGGAAACGTCTCATCCATCACGGCTCAACATCAGATATGATTCGGGATCTTTAGACACGCACACCATGATGCTCATGTTTATATTCACCTTTAACCAACAGCTCAATAACTGTCCAAGCCAAGCCCCTGTGTGTATGATTGTTTAGTGAGGATTAGGGATGATGATTTATTGACCAGGCCAATTATTCTGTCAGGTTTTGGTCAAGATGAGACCAAAAATTTCAAATTACTTTTTAAATTGAATTAAATATAATCACAAATAAACATTATTTAAAAAAAAAATGCATTAAAAAATTAATTATATGTGCTTTTCTATTTATTATATTTAATTTTCATATTTTCTAAAAAGTCAGTTATGTCAAAATTTAATTAAAATTTATTACATTTTATGAATTTTACCTTTAATGTTTTTTTAATTAAATCTTATATTTTTGTTTTAAAAATAAACATAGCATTTAATAAAATAAAATGATATATGTAAATAAATACATTCTATTATATTTTATTAGAAACAATATTGAAACGAATATAGCCTATATAAATATAGTCTATATAAAAATAAATATATAAAATAAAAATGTCAAAATTTCTTTTAAATGTGTACAATTTTACCTTAATGTTTTTTTTATATAAATCTTATGTTTTTGTTTTAAAAATAAAATTGGTTAATTTTTTTTGTAATTTATACATATAAATAAATACATAATTTTATTTCTATTAGATTTTATTAGAAAAAATATCAAAATGAATATATATATATATAAACTAATGTTATAAATTAATTTTCTTATATATACCGGTGTAAATATATATAAAACTAATCTGTCAGTTGTCAAAATCTATTATGAGACTATGAACGTTGTTTTTTATTTTATTTTACAGTAATATGTATAAATATAAATCATATGTTACACTACAATTGCATTAAATATGGTGTAATATAAAAGTTTTCTGTACGTTTTTTTTTGTCGCTATTTCTTAATTTTACAAATTAACATTATAAAATACTATGAATCAACCGCCATGCTCTAGTTAGTATCAGCATCTGTCAGTAGGAAATAGATATTAACACTGAATTTCTCTTATAGTTTATATCTTTAATATATGTGTTGGTAACTTCACTGCGACTGATAAGCAGGTCTGGAGTCAGTTCCTGGACAGAGTTCACTCTCACCCCTCCTCTCTCTCTCTCTGTGTGTGTGTGTGTGTGTTTCCAGTGTTCCTCCACTGTGCACCTGTTGTGATCTCTTCAGGAATTCCCTCTTACACGTCGCTCGCTCCGGGACAAACAGGGGTCCTGAAGGTGAAGGGGAGTGAGGGAGAGAGAGGGGGGGCTCTTTCTTTCTCTCCCTCCTCTGTGTTCCTCTGGCTCTGCTGCATTCTGTCGCTCTCTGTAGAGGTCTCAGACCCCTGCCCCGTGTGTGTTGCCCCGGGGGAGAGGGGCTTTTGTGTGCCGATGCCCCTGCAAGCTGGACAGACAGATGCTGTGGAGTGGTCATCTCCACACCAACACACACGCGCCTACTCCCTCTGTTACACAGGCACGGTTCCTCCAAACTTTAATGAAGACGCAGAGCAGGCCGTGCCTCTGAAACGACCTTTCGGGGAAACTCCAGAGCGACTGTGTCATTCATTCAGGGTTCTGGAGGACGAGGACTTGTTTAATGCGCGTTTAGTGACTTTAATGCTTTTTTGATGCTGAACTCTGAGTACGACGCTCAAACATTACATTTTAGTGAGCCTTATTGAAGCACATTGTTCAAAAGTTGTGTGTAAAGGAGTGTGCATGCAGAGAAATGTTCGTTTTGCTTTACCATCTCAACACTTTTTGTAAAAACGCATGCAAACTAGCAAGACAAACATACTTCAAATTGTTCACTATAATGTAAAAAATTGCTAATAGTTTATTTTAAGTATCTTTCCTGTAAACTGATTATATATATATGTGTGTGTGTGTGTGTATGTATATATATATTACAATTAAATAAAGGTAAATGTAAATATGTTTGACTTGCTAGTTTGCATTATTTCTTACAAAAGGTGATGTGATGGTAAAGCAAAATTAACACAAAATTAAAAAAAAAAACTCTTCAAGTTTTGGTGACTGAACAAAAAACATTGATGTAAAGCTAAAAAAAAGAAAAGCATATTGCATGTGTATTAACCCACATCAGGATGTCAGCATCCATATACACACACACACACATGTCTCTGTTGTCTGTGTGATAATGCCATTGTGTGGATGAATCTAATGACGCCTGTTGGTGTGTTATTTAGGCAGCACAGGGGTCATTAGGAGTGTGTGTGTGTGTGTGTGTACGTGTGTGACTGATATAATAAAAGCAGCACGCGGGTCATTAGGAGTGTGTGTTCAGTTGGTTCCCATGCTCTGAACTAAAGCTGGACAGCAGGGCTGTGCTTTCACACACACACACACATCATGGCACACGCCTGTTGACTGAGGCACAAAAAAAGTGTGTGACATCGCTGTGCCCTGGCGCCCCTCTGCATCCCCTATGTCTTTTCTCATCCCTCCCCTCCCACCCTCATCCTTTCTTTCTTCCTTTCTTTCTTTGGGACCCTCTCTCTATCCGGGCGTCCCTCCCCAGCTTAGAGTCCCGTGTCCCTCAGAGACCTTCCTCTTCTAATCATTTTACCCATCATATGATCCGGACCCTTATTTCACACTGAGACTATTAAGATAGAGTCCTCCCATAATACACACACACACACACACACACACACACACACACACACACACACACACACACACACACACACACACACACACACACACACTCACACACTCACACACACACACACAAACAGAAACACACACACACTCACACGCACACACACAAACAGAAACACAAACACATACACACACACACGCACACACACACACACTAATATATAAATTAATGAGCAGCCCAGTCAATTAATGGGAAACCGGTCACGAAATGCCCATGTCATATTTCACCTCAAAATAAAAATAAAATAAAAATTATTACCTTTTTAAAAGGACAATTAAACAATTATTATGAAGAAACAAACAAACAAACAAAAATATATATATAAATAAATTGATGAGTAAACCAGTCAATTAATGAGAAACTGGTTAAGAATGTATATAAATGTATATATATATATATGTATATGTATATATATATATATGTATATTTTATTGAACTATTTCACATAAAGAAAATGAACCCTGATTTTAAAACCATTATGTTTTATGACATTGTTTTCATGGTAATTAAACAATTATTACGCAAAAACCATAATAACTTATCACTTAAAGAGTTGCAAATTATTTATGTATCATGATAGTATTTTGGTTGATCTGCTTTTAATTTATGCTGACTTACTGTCATGTCTATTTTGCAATACCATAAAAAAATTACTATATTACAGTTATGAGGATTTAATGAGAATCATCATCCAGAATCAAATAAATAAAAAATGCTTTACGCTTTTGAAGTAATATTTTTGCATTATTGTGAAATGAGATTTATAGTATTTTTTGCATCATGATGACATTTATTTATTTATTGCATTATGGTAATTACGGAGAATTGCTTAATTGCCATGAAAATAATGTTGCAGAGTAAATCCGAATAGTCCTAAAACAGGATTCCTTCTTTATGCAAAATATTATGTAAAATATATAATATAAATATATAGTCAGATTTGCTTGTAATTTTAGGTTGAAATATGATGGGCATATTTTCATGACATTCACTGTCTGGATGTGTGTGTTGACGCAGATGTGTCTCTACATACACAATGCTTTCCCTCAGGACCTGCAGTAGTGTGTGTGTGCGAGAGAGTGTGCGTGTTTGAGTGAGTGTGAGTGTGTGTGTTGATATCAGCTCTTATCTGGCCATGATCTGACGGCTGTTTGATGGACTTGTAGTCAGCAAATGTGTTTTCAGCCAGTCTCTGTGTGTGTGTGTGTGTGTGTGTGTGTGTGTGTGTGTGTGTGTGTGTGTGTGTGTGTGTGTGTGTGTGTGTGTGTGTGTGTGCGTAGTGATCAGGGGCGTGAGGTGCCTTTGATGGTGTGATATATATGTGTGTGTGTGTGTGTGTGTGTGTGTGTGTGTGTGTGTGTGTGTGTGTGTGTGTGTGTGTGTGTGTGTGTGTGTGTTTGAGGGCGGCTGCCAGGGTCAGCTCTGTCCTGGGAAAGTTGAGCTCTCCATTTACACCAGCACATGTTGAGGCCTTCTGGTGGAGCATGAGCGAACGGCGGACAGATGGCAGCAGATTCACTGCGAACAGAGAGAGAGAGAGAGAGAGAGAGAGAAAGAGGGGTGAGGAGGAGCCGGAAGATAGATGGAGGAGAAGGAGGAGACAGGGATGAGCTTGCTATTCCTCATCATAATCACTGAACGTGTTGTGATTGAGAAGCAGAAATGAAGTCCAAACAGGGTTAATGGCTAAATTAGCATCAGTGTTTGCTTTGAGTGAAGATACAGTTTTGCAAGGACAAACTTGTTCTCATGCCACTGGTTTCATTGACACTTTTTGAGAGAATCGACGAGCACATGTCTTTTACTTATTTATACAATACAGTTTAGACTGAGCAAGTTTGGTTGCGCATAGCAACGAGCTGTCACACGTCACCGCATCCTTGACCTTTCACATCGTTTATCACTTGACCTCATATTTTATTCAGGAGATATTTGCGCATTTATCTATACATTTTATTTTATTTGCACATCTATCTCGCACTTTTGGGTGTGCTTTCAGTGTATTACTGTTATAACGCAAAACAAGTGTTGATTTTAG